CAAATGTGTACTAAGTGCCTACTATGATACTGGATACTGGAGATATAGCCGTGAACAAGAAAGACAATGTCCTCGACTACACTGAGTTAGCATTTCAATACTATGCTCTTCCATGCCTCAGTGCCTTTGCATATGCTGCCTCCCCTGGCTAAAACTTATTTATTCTTCAAGACCTATCTCAAATATCCCCTCTTCATTTTCTAGCAAAGTATATGATTCTTTTCTCAACTTTATCCACCCTCTGCAAAGGTTTACTTTTCATATTAACATTATTGTTATTCAATACGTATTCTTTGACAGACAATATAGTATCTTAGAAAGAGAATGGGTTTTGGAGCCTAAATTACTCCGTAGTCTCTTCTAAAGTAATATCATCTGTGCTCTAAAATTTGTATATCTAGCATATACAAATCTGGGAAATCAGAGGTCTCTCTGAGGAGGTAACATTTAAGCTGAAACCTGAATGTCAAGGAGGAATCAGCCACAAGAAGATGAGAGGGAACAGAAATAAAGCCAGAGTGACTGATGGTAGTGGAAGTGAGGGCAGAGTGGTAGGAGAGGAGATCACACTAGCCTTCTTTCTGCTCCTCAAACATGTCAAGCTCCTTCCTATCTTATGATCTTTGCACCAGCTTTTTCTCCTTGGAGTCCTGTTCTCTCTTATCTTCTTGTGGCCAGAGGGTCTTGCAAGTCTGTGTAAGCTAGGATAAGAAGTTTGGATTTTATTCTAAGTGTAATGGGAAATAGAGAGGTTCAAGCAAAGGAGTGATATGATCTGATGTATGGGTTTATAAAAAATTATCAGCTTTATTTAGCATTCCAATACATTGTCTATTCTGGCAGTAAATTAATGTGTACAGCTTTCAAGGTATGTTGGTTAGTTTCCAAGAAAAATGCTTCTGGATATGTACATGAAATTACATGTGGAACCATTTAAATAGGTGACTTTATAATTTTATAATTTCCAATTTTAGAAGTTCTGTTACCATTTTACGAAATTACTAAAGAATAGAAATTCTTTCTTTACAATCTATGACTTTAGATAGTTTGAGTTTATGGAATAAAAGTTCCAATTTCCATTTTAGTTCCTGCAGCTACAAATCCTAGAATTATAGAACTGATGGTTTAGATAACCTAATCCAGTCTCCTCATTGTACATGTGAGAAATTTCCTGGTCTTGACAAAGATTATAAAGCAAAGAAGAGATGGAACCTGGATTACAAATCAGCTCACATATACTAGATTCTCAAGAAATGTCTGTTGGGCTAAAATAAGATACATGTATCACACAGAGCTCTAGTTTTTATCTGGGATACCCTGTTTTTACATTCTGTTTACCATGATTGGATCTTAATGTGTTCTTTTATGGTTCACAAAATAATCTAGTGACTGTTGCTTTGGCACCAAAATCATTGCCATTGAGCCCAGCCGGTGTGGCTCAGCGGTTGAGCATCGACCCATGCACCAGGAGGTCCTGGTTCAATTCCTGGTCAGGGCACATTCCCAGGTTGCAGGCTCGATCCCCAGCAGGGGATGTGCAGGAGGCAGCCGATCGATGTTGATGTTTCTCTCTGTCCCTCTCTCTCTAAAAATCAATAAAAACACATTAAAAAAAAATCATTGACATTGAATAAATTAATAAGTGAGTACCCTGAAAAAAAATCATGACATCATTGCAGTTTATCACTGATTACCAGTGCTGCTTATGCTGCTTTCTCCTGAATATTTGGATTTGGGCAACTTCTCTTCTCGTCAATGATTGAAACAGACCTACCTCAAGAATGCCTGTTCTCCTTTGAAATTTACCATCAGCAGAGGGAGCTAACACGTTATCAATATGTATAAAATCATTGACATTTGAGTATGGGACAGTTTGCTTCTCTTTGTGGCTCATTCCAGTCAGAGTCATCACATATCCTGTTCTGTTCACCTAAGCCATCAGTGGTTCCAACACCGGCTTTGGCAATGTAGTTATGGATTACTTCTGAGTTGTCTATCCCACATAGCAATGAAATTTCTCATCATATCAAAACATACCATTCCTTTATATCTGTGATAAAACAGTGCTTCTCATAATATACCAAGCACTTACAGCATCCAACTCTTTTGATTTATTATGTCTCAGTCTAATAGCTACACATAGCCATGGTACTGGTAGGCAAAAGAAAAAAGACCACAGA